TTTTAAAAACAGTGGACATAAGAAATACGATGAAAAATTGTTGCCAAACCCATATTTCTAAAAGAATGAAACTATTTAAAATGATGCGATTTCATCCAAAATCTATCTACAACAATAAGGCAGGAAAATTGTTGCCAAAATCACATTTTTAAAGATGTGAGATGTGAGAAGTGTACTCAGAAGCCTTATTTAAATTTTTTTTAAAAAATACAAAATATTATCATTTTTCCAAAATTCTTATTGCTTAGTCATGTTGTTTTAAATGCTCAGAACAACTGAGATGCCTTTGAAAATTTATGTAATCATAACAAACATTTTTAGTAAGTGTATGCAGTAACAAATTGAATATGCTGCAGAAGTAATGACCTGAGCAATATGATGCCATGAAAAAAACATAAGATGTACAACAGATTCTAAATGCAGTTGAAAATTTTAGGAAATTTTCTTCACTAAAAAAATTTTCTCAGAATTAAATTTGATCAGAAACTTTCAGAAAGGCTTCTTATGAATCGTATTTGTATATCATAATAAATCACGTGATAAGGGAATAGAAATTTCACTCTGAGCAATTTATAACTTGTGTAAACAATTACGTGTAAAGAATGAACTTGGATCTATTACTACTATGTTTATTTACAATTTTGTACACATTTAATTATTTGGAGTGCAGTTATTTCATTTTTGATTACAAATGTGCGGTAATGGATGTTTTTATGCCAAATGTTTTGATGCTAGAAGATTAGAAATTTAAATTATTTTCACTACATGATGAATGCTTGTTGTCTAGATATTCATTCTAGTAATATAATTTTCTCCTAATTGTCTTTCATAAGACCCTTAATATAGCCCAAAGACGACAATTTCAAATCTGAAATTAATGCTTAAGTATTTGAGATCGTTATATCTGTGCATAAACATGCCGATGGTGTTTAGAATAGGAGATGGTGTTTAGGATAGGAGATGGTGTTTAGGATAGGAATATGAAATCTGAGATAAGGATTCCTCTAAATGCTATAATTGAACATTGGAATAGTAAGGAATATTGGGAAAACCACGGCTTTGAAACTAAACCAACGATAACACTGATTTAGGAAAGATGTAGTACATGCATTACTTAAATTATTTGGTAGCAACAATTTATAAAATGTGATTAGCGTTTATAGTAGACTACGCAAAATTCTATTTCGAGACTAATAGCCTATTTTGACTAATAAGCAATAGAAATTTTTTTTTAAAAATATATCTGAAAGCTTTTTTCAGATTTTACTTTTACTTCTCAAAGGGAAGTTCTCTTAACGATTTCGTGTATTATCTTTATTTATTAAATATCATATTCTTCGCACTTAAACCTCATAAAATTCAATTCAACAGCAATATCGCACAAAGTATTTAAAAATGAGCATATCTTTAGAATTTCCGATACACAGTCTCGCGCGCTGGAGATAATTTTTTTTTTTTTTTTTTTTTTTTTTTTTCCAGTACAGTGTTGCCATTGCTCGCTTTGAAATCGTTGAGTTTGTTAATCAAAAAGTCGTTACAGTTTTACAGAATATGAAACAGATTATGAAACAAATTCCAAATTCCAAATTTAGGCTTCCAGATGCCCCAAATTGGGTGGACACGAACGTTATGCAAACTTTTATGGCTCTAGGTACCGTTGTTTTATAACAAAGCGAGAAAAATACACACATTTATGTAGATTCTTCATTATTTAATTTCTTTAAATATAATACAGGACTATAATATTTGGTGGCAATAGTTTGAAAACTGAAACGACATTTAAAATTTTCAACGCAAAATGCCAAAACGAAATTAATAGCCCTTCTGGGCTAACGCTCTTTGGGCTAATAAAATAAGAAAGTAATGATTTTTATATTTATATAATTTTGATGTTATTTGTAATTATTTATAAAATTACATTTTTAACATTTTCGTTTGAGAATTATATATCATTATATATGTTACGTTTCAAGTGATTAATTGATTATTATTAATACTAGACGTATTTATTATATTAACTATAACATACATATTTTGTGTTGACCATATAAAGCTAGATTTAAAGCTGTTATAAGAGTTACGGTGGAATGATTTAAAATTGTTAACTTTGTTGAATAAAAAGTGTATATGTGTACAAATTTTACAGGTACAATTACAATTTAAGTGTACATGTAAAATTTTACAGGGGCCCGCATTAATCTCGGCCTCAGGTGAAAAAATATCAAATCAATATTGTCAACAAGGCTTGACAGGTAGTATCTTCCGTTATCTATGAAATGTTTTGTGCTATACAAAAATTAACCATCTGAAGAAACAGTTTCAAAACTGAAATAAAGTAAATTGAAAATGTTAACAGCTTTCCAAACACTTCATTTTTTGTTCCTTTCTTTTATAATTCTAATTTTTTAAGCAGTACATTTTTCACTGTACATGTCTTTACGAAAGAAGTACTACAATAAGTATTAAATTAAAAGGTGCAGAAGCGAAAACAAAAGAGAAATCTGCTAAAACAAAAGGGAAAATATTATTTAACATCCTGTTATTTATTATTCACTGGTCGATTATTCTTCTGGTTGAAAGAACAGAAAATGAAAGTTCGCTGCTGGTATTTTTTTGTCGCCATAAATAAAACTATCATTTTATACCTAAATATTATTCAGAAGTATAAGAATATTGATAATTCAATGCGTAATAAGAATTTTTACGTACTGAAACTATCTTAAAAATAATGAATGCAAAGAATTTGAAAGAAATAAATCAGTTAAAATAAAATATTCACATTATTTATTGTTATTTATAATTCTCAAAATTTTCATCAATTTTCCTTGTAAAGGAGAGATAATTAACTCCATGATTAGTTAATTAAACTTAGCTCGCTTAAGGGGGCTCATACACCTTAAACCCCTTATGATCTTCGAATATGTGACTGTTGCAAGAATTGGGATATTTCTTTTATTTTTAAAACAATTACTTCCAACATTTTACAGCTGACTACATAACATAGCTGCTTTAGAAACTAGTAACCAGAAAGTTTGTGTTGCCACAAATATTTTTGTAATTTAATCCGTTTTGTGACAATATGTTTTCGTCATGTTTCCACCTCGCTCGCAAGATATTTTAAAAATGGCTAATGGTACATACTTGAAATTGGATGGAGTTCTTTATATGAGCACTATTTTCTAACTGAACTAAAAATCTGAATATATTTTAATATTAAAAAATTTTCTGCATGAAAACATTACAGATTTTTTTAATAAAATACATTTTATAAACTCAATTCCAAATAAAATAAAAATTTAACATGAAATTCTTAGAATTTTTGGTTCACAGTAGTGTCCAAATGTTACAAATGCTACATATTTAATATGAAAGTAAATTATGTAAGAGAATGTTTTAAACTGTGCGCGCAAGGTGGAAACATGACGAGAAATTTTGTCACAAAGCGGATTAAATTATAAATATATTTGTGGCAACACAAACTTTCTGTTTACTATTTCAGAAAGCAGCTATGTTATGCAGTCAGCCGTAAAAAGTTGGAAGTAATTGCTTTTAAAATAAGTAAATTATCCCAGTTCTTGCAACAGTCACATATTCGAAGATCTTATGGGTTTTAAGGTGTATGAGTCCCCTTAAAAGTTTCTCATTTAAGGGTTATGTACAATCTATGCGACCAGTCTTCGTCTGGCTTTTAAATGTACTAGAAAAATGCTTAAGGGGAACACCATTAAATTTGAAAACTGCACAGAATATTACTCTGCAGAACAACTTTATCAAAAAACAAACAAGAGAAAAAAAGGAACAGAAATTTCAACAATAATGTATTATATATAAAAAAATTATAATGAAATAAGCAATATCCCTTAACACAAATGTTAATTATCCTAATAAATAAATTAACCAACTTCCCGTTGCAAAATCTTAAGAATTCAAATAGTATAAAGGAAGTTAAGAACTTTGTTTCATAAAAAAATCATTCAAAATTTATATATAATTAAAATTATATATGATTAAAACATAATGTTAAAAAAATTACAATGAAATAAGCAATAAATCTCATATTTTCAAGAGAAAACATTTAGCAGTCCAATATCCAAAGCAATGAATGAACTGTTGCACACATTTCTAAAAGAACGGAACTACCACCAGAAAGCAATAACCAATTGTGCTTTATGAATGACGTAATACAAAATATACAAACCTCTTTGCCATTAGACCTCATCAAGTCCATCTGCTCTATTTGAAAAAGAGCGAATGCTACATGTCACTGAAAAACATCCTTCAAATGGATTTTAAGTCAAAATTAATATTTTCGTTGAAATGTGATACCCGAAATTTTTCGTGATGACAATATTTCCTTCAGTTTACACAAGGAAGTAAAGAATTTCGTTTTCAGTTTTCTGTCCATTTTTTCAGATTTTATTTCTGGGATCTTTTATTGATTCTGAATAAAATTGAATTTAAATGCCGGTTTATTAATTTCAAATACAATTGTAATAAATTTTCCAGCTACTAGTTCTCAGAATTAACCATGAAATTAACCTAATGATGATACGATTTGTTTCTTAAACTCTGAGTTTGCTAGTACAAAAAAGAACTAAAAATTATGGCTTTCCTTGAATCTATTTCGAAGATCTTCTAAAAGTTGTCGCAAATTAGCCTAAATGATCATAATTCTGAAGTTTACTCGAATACAGAAGTACTAAGACAACTATCAAGAAGACTTACCTTAACACAGTTGAACCTTTTTAAAGGCAACGACTTGCTTTTTGAGATAATTATAACCTTAGATATGATCTTCTATAAGAGGTGTTATAAAACACCTATATTTATTTATGTTCTCTTAAAAGAATTACTACCTTTAGAGATTATTGCCCTAAGTTGAGAGGACTCAATATATTTTATTTTATTTTCATGCAAATGATAATTTTAAAAAGCTTAGCATATGATAATGTTTACGATATTGTAAAAATTTGCAACTTAAACATATTTATATGTTTTAGGTGAATATTTGGATACATACAGAAATCTGACAACTAAAGTCAAACATGGTTTAACGTGGGCCCTCCATCATTGCCAGCCAACTTACCTCCTGAAGACTGATGACGACTGCTTTGTCAATTTACCCTTACTTATAGACTTCTTGTGGAAGTATAATCCTGTTCGAAAAAATCTTTATGCCGGTCGTGTTCGGTGGTATGTTCCTGTCATTCGAGACCCCAACAGTCGCTGGTACGTATCTAGCATCGAGTATCGAAGGCCCCGTTATGCTCCTTATGTGAATGGTGCTGGGTATATTTTCAGTTTGGATGTACTGAAGAAATTCGTAGCTGCAGCTGATACTGTGTTGCCCTTCCCGAATGAAGATGCATACGTGGGCACAGTTTTGAATGTGGCTGGAGTGAGACCAACGTATAGTGCACGATTCGTGACGCATGCTGGACCATGGCAAATGTGCAATTTCTTGTACCTGTTTGTTGTCCATCACGTCAAAGCTACACGGCAGTGGGAATTCCAAGAGATGGCAAAAAGAGCGATGGAAGAATGTTCAAGCACAGACATGGCAAAAGACTGGGTTTGAAAAAGCAATATCAAAGCCAAATGTTATTGACTGAGTTGATATTTAGTTGAAGACATCGGATCGGACGGTATGAATAACTGACCGGACGGTATGAATATAATACATGGCTCAATTGTAATTATGATGAAATGGTTTGGGAATAATTCCCAAGTCGAAAGATGATGAACTTAATGGGGATAATTGATATGACTTACACTTGGAAATATCAAGAGAGATGACATGAAAAAATATAAATATAACGGACTGAATAGAAAATGTGAAGTGGCATAATAAATATGAATGATGAAGGACGAAATGTAAATATTGAAAGATAAAATAATAGTTTAGGTATATTAAAAGTCTTTCGCAGAAGAATTCTTTCCAGCGACACGGTGTAAGAAGAAATCACTTCAATACTACTAGCCATCTATCGGTAAGGAAATGAACGATAAAGTACTTGCGATTCTTCCCATTTTTGTTATCCTATCTCATGCAGTTGCTACAAATAACTCATAATGGAAGCAAAAATGAAGGTTGACAAACGTTCCTAGAGCCATATATATCAATCCTTTGGCCAAACTGGAAAGGTCCTTAAAGAACACAAAGGGAGATTTTTTTAATGCTAAAAATATAGGTAAAGCTTCCGCTTACAATGATTAGATAGTGACTGAAGATTTCTTTTCAGGGTGAGTATTGATGGTCCTTCCAAAAACGAAAAAAAATATACAGGGTGTCTACAAAGTCCCTGAACAACACTACCCTATTATTATGAGTACACTATGTAGTGCTATAAATTTTTCTGGTGTTATTGCACATATGTGAAAGATTTTCCCATTTTCCCCCCACAATTTGTTTTAGTTTAATAGACACATAATGTGAGGATTTGGGGATCCAAAAACCTTCATATCATAATGGAGCTGAAGTGATACAGGCGGAAAGTAAATGCTTGGTGTGGGATGTTGTATGGCAAGATTTTAGGACCATTTTTCTTGAATGAACAAAGAATCGCTGCTAAAGTTTACTTCGATACATTGATTAATTACATTTGCGAATAGTTGGAACAGACTCTAGCCCATGTCATCTTGTCGCCTGCTGAGGTTGTATAAAATGCATTATTTGTCACAAAAACTTTGGACCTTGTTAATGAAAGTGCGACCAGTACCAAAGGTAAAAGGCGTTTCATTCCTAAACAAAAGCTGAAAAAAGTTATGCAGGGACTTTGTGGACACCCTGTATATGCTCTATAAACAGTGTGGTAAAAATTGGTTTCGAACGAGTATCGTATGTACTGCTGTGCATCCTTACATCATCTTAAAAAATTTTAAAAAAATATAGTGTTAAGGTGTTACAGTCAATAAACAAAAATTTATGCGTGTGATAAACCTTGTGAAAGTTTAAATTCTTATGAAACTGTCTAACTACTTCTGTTTACGAAAGCAATTAGACAGTTTAAATTGAAAAACAAAGCACTTGACTGATTTTGGACAAATTTTAAATCAAGAATCATTAAAAACTGCTTTGTAGACAATTAAGGATTTGCTATTTTTAAAATAAATGTAAATCTTTGCATGGTTGTTTGCGCGCAGCTTTTCGTCAGCTATATCATTACTTATTGTTTATACAACTGCAAATAGTTCCTCTAACGATTTGTCCTAAATTCTGAAACATATGGACTAATGTAATGGACTAATGTAATGTAATGGACTAAGTAAATGTACAAACAAAATAAAACAATAAAGGAAACAGAAAAATAAAAATGTGCTTTTAATGAATATCTTAAAATTAATAAGTTTCTTCTCTCTCCCTCCCTCCAAAACATTGCTTTTTGGGAAACAAATAAAATAACAAATAATAATATTCATAATTAGCAAAATATATTTTGCTCAGCCTTAGCTGTATGATTTCACAAGTGCGGTTTTTTTTTTTCCAATATGCTATTTTACAGGTGCTTCAATAGAAAATAACATTTAATTTCTTGGAAAATGTCATATATGGAACGGAATTCTGAAAGTTAATACAAGCAAGCGTCAGTTTCTGTCCTGTAATTATACCCCCCATTAGTGAAGAAAGTAATGCTTTTTTTTCCGGGGGGAAAGTAGTTTTTAAAACAGTAGCAGTTTAAAGTAGTTACAAATTTTTTTGATGCTAAGTGTTATAATCCCTAAAAGCAGAACACCAAAACAGGCAAGTTATAAGCACATAAAACATACAAACAAGACTATATCAAAAAGCTTACTATCCGAGAAGTATAAATAAGTGCCAGAAGAAATCAATTCTGTCTTTGAATTATTTGATATAAAATACGATAAGTGATGAGGGTGAAACAAATTCAGCTTTCTACTGAGTAATAAATTTTGAGAAGTGGATGGCACAATTTTAAAATCATAGAGTTCTTTGGAACAGGCCAAGCCTATATAGGTGCCAAGATTATCATCGCTTACATCACAATTGTAAGTACTATCATGCATATTAAGGATATTGTAATCGCAGCTACAAAACAGTGATCAGGTCTGAACGTCCATCATGCATTAAGTATAAATTACACAATAGAGTCAATAATGACAGCGCATATAGAATTAGGCATCAAAGGCATGTCCTAAACTGTCCAAAGTACCTAAAACAAGTTAATAAAATAAAATAAAATAAAAAAATCTGAAAGTTTTCAAATTTTTACATTACGCTCAAAGAGCAGTTTTTTTGTTTTTTTTTCCCAACGTTTGTATGTTATTTCATTTATTATTTTTATGTTCTTCGCATTTAAACCATAAAATTCAGTTCAACAGCAGTATCCCAAAATAATTTTAAAATGAGCATATCCTTTAGAATTTCCGATACACAATCTTGCGCGCTGAATTTTTTTTTTTTTTTTTTTTTTTATTTGGTATTGCCATTGCTAGCTTTGAAATCATTGGGTTTCTTAATCAAAAATTCTTTAATGTCTGACAAAGCATGAAACAGATGATAAAACAAATTCCAAATTAGGTATTCATAATGCCCATATTCGGTGGAGGATTATATTTAAAATTGAATGGCCCTAGGTACCGTTGTTTTATTACAATGCGAGAAACATACATACATTTAGGTAGATTCTTCATTATTTAATTTCTTTAAATATAATACAGTGCTGTTATAGTTGGTAGCAACAGTTTGAAAAGTGAATCAACGCAGAAAGTGAATTGACGCAAATTGCCAAAACGAAATTAATAGCCTTTCTGGGCTAACGCCTTTTTGGGCTCACGCCTTTTTGGCTAACGATAGGAATAAATTACGGACTCTGTTAACGACAATTGTTGCATAATCGAGAAAATATTGTTAAGAATTTTATTATTACTATTTTTATTATTATTGTCTATTTTTCAAAAGTGTGTTTTTGTTTTATTATTGTGTGAAGTTGTAACTATATGTCTTTTCTTGTGTGGCAACAACGCTTCTGTAATTCTTCAATTTGAACTTTTGGATGTGTGCCAAGTTTGATGGCGTAAATGCTCTGGTGAGAGCGTCGATTGATTGTGTAGATGAAACATGTTGTTTCAGAACGTTATTTCTTTAAAATATGTAAAATAAATGTTTTGTTTTCTGAACTCGGATTATGCAAACGTTATTTAGTTTCAACATAAAAGTTTGGCGTCCGTTTGACAGGACGTTTGTGTGATTTCGAGTAGTTTTGATTTAGGCGTTTTGTTAAAATGGAGTTGTTAAAGGCAAAACGTAAAAGTGAACGTACTTCGTTTACGTTAACTACGAAGATTGTGGAAGAAGAAGAATTGCCTACTTGTACGGATCCTGAGAGATTGCAAGTGTTGTTGGGGCAACTAATTGACAAATTTGAACGCTTGGACAGTACTCAAAGCAGTGTTTTAGAACAAACCAAGGAAGCGGATTTCGAGAATGAATTTAATACGGCTGAAGGATACAGAGATTCCTTTATAGCTTTAAAGGTGAAACTTCAGAATAAAATTGGACAATTGAATTCGATGAATGTTACTACAGATATTGCTTCAGTTTCGATTTCGGATCCTAAAGAAAATAAAAACAGGAAGTTCAAACTTCCTAAACTTGAACTGAAAAAATTTTCTGGAGATGCAAGAGAATTTTTAGGCTTTTGGAGCCAATTCTCCAAAATTCATGAAGATGCGGATATTGTGCCGGAAGATAAATTTTTGTACTTAGTGCAAAGTGCAGTACCTGGCTCAAAGGCAGCTCAACTTTTGAACAGTTTTCCTGTTACCGCCGCGAATTATCCTAAAGCTATCGAGCAGCTGAAAGAAAGATTTGGTAGAGAAGACCTTCTGGTGCAGATCTATGTAAGAGATTTGCTTGGGCTTGTTACAAAGAATGCTACAACAGGCAGCAGAACGGCGTCGGACTTAGGAGTACTTTATGATAGTATAGAAAGTAAATTACGAGCGCTGGAAAGCTTAGGACGCACCAAGGAAAAGTTTGCTGATTTCTTGGGACCTTTAGTGGAGTCGTGCCTACCTGAGAATATTCTACGTGCCTGGGAGCGGAGTCGAACTTCTGAACAGGGACAGGAAAAGAGTTCTGAAAGAACGCTTGAAAAACTAATGTGTTTTTTAAGGCATGAAGTAGAATCGGAAGAAATGATTAGATTAGCACAATCAGGATTTACTCATTCTGTTAAGCGTCTTAATAAAAATGTTATTTCAGGTAATTCAGATTTAGCAACAGCTGCCGCGCTGGTAAGTACAAATGAAACCAGTAAAGGTAAGCAAAATGTTTGTATATTTTGTGGTAAGCCTCATATGAGTGCTAAGTGTTTTAAAGCTGAAAATATGAGCTTAAATGAAAAGAGGCAACTTGTACAAAAGAAAGGTGTTTGTTTTTCATGTTTAAGAATTGGCCATTTAAAAAACCAATGTAAAGCCAATATTAAATGCCCCATTTGCAGTTGTGATCATATAAAATTTATGTGTCCTCAGAATGTTAGTTCTGTAAAACAAAATGACTCTAAGTTGGATGTTTCCCTTTCTAATAATAGTAAGAGCGAGAAAGTTTATTTGCAAACTTTATGTGTTCTAATTAAAGTTAAAGATCGAGAGAGAAAAATTAGGATTCTCTTGGATTCGGGATCCCAACGATCATACGTTGGGGAGAAAATTATGAAGCGAATGAAGGCTGATCCTATTCGACAGGAGAAAGTAATTCATGGTTTGTTTGGGGGGAGGGAAACTGCGCCTGTAACCCATTCTGTTTTTGCTATTGACATAAGCAGTTTAGATAACACTTTTAGGTGTTGTTTTGAAGCTTTTTCTGAAAAAAAGATATGTGGATTTGTTCCAACAATCAAGAATGCTCAGATTATAGAGGAATTGAAAAGCAGGAAAATTGAGGTCAGTGACACATTTTGCGAGGAAAGTGAAATTGATTTATTGATAGGTGCAGATGTCATTGGTAAACTGTTAACTGACGAATACCTAGAATTACCCTCTGGTTTAACTGCAGTCAAAACAAAACTGGGTTGGACGGTTATGGGTAAAGAAAATGATACTGTCAGGGATAATGCCCTAATAAGTCTTTCCTTACATGTAAATAATGCTTCTTTGAAATCTTTATGGGAGCTTGAAGTTTTGGGTATTTCCGACCCGACGGAAAATAGTAAAACGAAAAATCTTCATTGCGACTATGAGATTGATTTTCAGAATAAATTATCTATTCGGCCCGATGGTAGATATGAATTAGAATTACCCTGGAAATGCGAATCTACCAATTTATCAGATAATAAAAGCATTGCTTTGACACGTCATCAAAAAATGATAAAGAGGGCAAAAGAAAATAATTCTTTGAAGGAATATCAAGAAGTGTTTAGAGAGTGGGAAAATTTAAATATTATAGAAAAGGTTCCGGAAAAGGAATTAAACAATAAATGCCACTTTTTACCACACAGACCGGTTATTAAGATGAATAGTGAAAGCACTAAGGTAAGACCCGTTTTTGATGCTTCATCTTGTGAAAAGGGAAAACCATCTTTGAATCAGTGTTTATTGAAAGGACCTAATTTAATAGAATTAGTCCCTGATATTTTAGACAGAATGAGATTTTTTTCCTATTGGTCTGAGTGCAGACATAGAGAAAGCATTCTTGCAGTTAGGAATTTCTCCGAAGGATAGAGATTACTTGCGATTTTTCTATCCAAGTGATGAGGGAGAAATAGTGTATAGGCACTGCAGAGTAGTTTTTGGGGTTTCCTGCAGCCCTTATCTACTAGGTGCGTCTATTAAATATCTCTTGAATAATTGTCCATCTGACTTTTTAGATGTGGCTGACAAATTAAAAAATTCGTTCTATGTAGATAATTGTATTACGGGTGTTTACAATATTGAGGAACAAGAGGATTTAATTCAAAAGGCCAAAAGTCTTATGTCGAGAGGCAGATTTAATTTAAGGGGATGGGAGAGCAATGTTGCTTCCAAATATACTACAAAACATTCTGGGGACACACCTCTTTTAGGAATATTGTGGAATTTAGACAATGATACTTTAAGGTGTAATATAAATGTAAATATGATAACTTGTGATACTAAGGTAACTAAGAGACTGATTCTGTCTATTGTACAATCAATTTTTGATCCAATTGGAATACTTGCACCAATAACTTTGCTTCCAAAACTTTTGTTACAAGAAACATGGAAGTTGAAATTTTCTTGGGGACGAGGTATTGCCTCATGATTTTGTAAGTAAATTTTTTGTGTGGTTATCTGATATACTTTTGTTGAAAAATGTGGCAATACCCCGATTCATTGGAACCTTTGCAACAGTTGAATTGCATGTATTTGTCGATGCCTGCAAATATGCTTATGCAGGATGTATTTTCGCGAGAAGTGTTGATTCATGCAGTGTAAAAAATTACTCTCTTAAGAGCAAAATCTAGAGTAGCTCCTATTAAGAATTTGACGATTCCTAGATTGGAATTAATGTCCTGTTGCATTGGATCCCGATTATTATATTCTGTTTGTAAAGCTCTTAATGATTTTGATATAAATGTAACTTTATGGTGTGATTCCACAGTCGCATTATGGTGGATCAGAAATCCTGGTAATTGGTCGAAACTTTGTAAGCAATCGTGTTAAAGAAATTACTAAGTTGACAAAACCTGAATCATGGAGGCATGTGCCTGGTAATATGAACCCAGCAGATGTGTTATCTCGAGGGTTGCTCTGCTAAACAAATGATTAACTCGGAGTGGTTTAAGGGACCTCTCTGGCTAAGAGAAAGCCCTGAATTTTGGCCTACCAATATTGTTTGTCAGCCGAGCGAAGCTGACTTGGAAAAGAGGAAGGTAAAACTTATTAATGTTAACTTTTCAGAGGATACCACTCCTTGGTATGCAGAAAGAGTTTCTGATTATGAAAAAATGATTCGTGTAACCGGTTGGGTGTTACGTTTTATTTCTAACTGTAGGAAGAAGTCAAATTTGTGTAAAGAATCTAAACTAACTGTTGCTGAAATCATAAATTCCGAAAAAGTTTTGATTCGGTTGGTTCAAAGCTCAAATTTCCCTGACATTGGAGCTCTTAATCCACTTGATGTATTCATTGATAATGAAAAAAATTATAAGAGTTAAAACTAGAATATTGGAACGCAAAGACAATTCTGAATTTTTAACACCAATTTTGTTACCGAGTAAATGTATCTTTACTACATTGTTAATTGAGTCAGTTCATAAGAAACATTGTCATGCTGGAACTCAAATGCTTCAATCTATTTTAAGAGAAAGATT